GGGCGGGGAGGGGACGGCGGGGTGCGCTGGGCGGGGCTCGCTCCAAGGCGGCTCCGGGGCGGGAGGAACCGAGGGATGGGGGCAGGAGCCCACAACCGTCCCCGGTCCCACCTCCCCCTTCCCTCGACCCCGCCGCGGGTCAGTGCAAGGCCTCCCGGCGCTCACAGCCTTTGCCAAGGCTCCTTGGCTCGTCTTCCTCCAGGGCCAGAATCCCCGCCTGTACTCCAAAGACCCCCCTCTCAGACCCTCAGGCTACTTGGGGCGGGTGGCAGTGGAGTAGCTGGAGGTTTAAGAACAGGCCCTGTCCTGCCTCCCTGGGGCCCAGCAATTCGGGTCAGATTAGAGTCTGTGGAGGGTGGTGTGGGAGAGGGCGGAATCCCTCTGCCCAGAGCTGCCTGCAGAGCGACCACAGACACCCCCTCCCCATCCCCTGAGTCATAGAGACCTGGGGGGGGGGAGTGAGGGGGCAGATCAGGTGTCTGGAGGGTCCCTGGGATCCCTGCCGTCTTTAAGGCCCAAGTGCCAGTCTCCCGGCTCCTGCCCTCCCTGCTCCCCTCCCCATCTGAGTGAGTCTTGGTGGCAGTGCAGTCACCCACCCGGGGCTCCTGGGCAGCTGCCAGAAGAGTCACCCCGGGCCCCAGTTCCCAGCCTCCAAGGGCAGCAGTCCCCAAAGCCCTTGGGACAGTAGCCTTGTTGTGGGACTACAGGACCCCTCTTCCTCAAATCAGAGATTGTGACCCTCCACTCACAGCACACAACACCTGACTCCCACCAAAGCAGTTTGCCAGCCATCCCCGAGGTCAGCGCAGACTGTCCCCAAGGCACAGGTGGTAACTGAGGCTGGGGCGTCAGCGCCAGAGGGAAGCCAGGCTACATCCCAGGTCCCTGAGCCCAACCAGCGCCGAGGTCTCCTGGAGCTCAGTATCACATGGATGTGTGTGAAACAGGGGTTCTCGCCACAGCCTCAGCCTCCAGACTGAGCGTCGCCCCTGCCTGCCTCCTCAAAGAACAGAGACTCCTGGCTGGACAGACCCCCGGGCAGGGCAGACCCTGGAAAAGGGCAGACCTTGGAGAAGGGCAGACCTCTGGGCAGGGCAGACCCCAGGAAGGCAGACCTTGAAGAAGGGCAGACCTCCGGGCAGGGCAGACCCCAGGGTAGGCAGACCCCCGGGAAGGGTGTGACTCTCTACATGGGCCCAGGACAGGTCTCCTGGGTCCCTTCCAAGCCAATTCAGGGTGGGCAGGACGAGCTGAGAGGACGAGGGGTCTCCTCTGTCCCCAGGGCGCGCCCAAGGCTCGTGACTAGTAGGTGGGGTGGGGAGGTAAGAGGGAGGAGGCTGGCTGGGCTTGGCTGACAGCACTCGGCTCCCTGTCCTGGGACAGCGAGGCAGTGTACCGAGACCAGGAGAGGCGGCACTCACCTGGTCCCTGTGGCCTGAGTGCCCGCTACCACGCCTTCCAGTTGAGAAGGGAAAGCTCATAGTCTGAGCCCCCACTGAACACCCACCCCGTGTCCCCCACTCGCCTCCCTGGCAGCAGGCAGGCAGGCAGGCTTGGGTACTCGCATCTTGCAGATGTGGAGATGCTCAACGGACTGGTCCTGAGCTGCCAGCAAACTGCTCCCCCCCTTGCTGTTCTCCGGGGTCACAGGTCAACCCCGGGATCTGGCAGTGTTGGGAAGACAACATTTTCCTAATTGCATCAGTGTGGCTGTGTGTTTTTCATTAGTCACGAGGTGGCCGGGAGGTGTGGGGAGATGTGGGGAGGCGAGGAGGGGACCATGCAGATGAGGTTGGGGCTGTAGCTTCGGGCTTGGCTTATACTGAAAGCCCCTTCCAGTGGTGAGACCCTTGTTTTCCCAGCCCCGGCTGCCTCTGCCATTCTTGCCCTTTGGCGCTGCTGTGGGCTTCCAGGGAAGGGGTCAGGAGTGGGGCCCCCTGTTTGGACCAGGAGCCCTGAGACCTGCGCCCTGCTCTGTGGCCGGGGTGGTGAGCACCTCTCTGGGCCCCAGTTCCTGCTCCGGCCGCCCCTGTCCCCGTGGAGCTGCGGCGATGGTCAGTTGCGTAGGCTGTGGATAGGCATCTCACAGGTCTCCTGGCGCCCCGTGGCCTCCCCAGCAGAGCGAAGCTCCACGCACTTGGCTGCCTGTGCGCGGGCCCAGGGCCAGGGGCCGCCAGGTCACTGGGAAATGTGCCTGGGGTAGGAGGGGCTCGGCACTCTGCTGAGCAGCTGTCCTGTGCCCTCATGGAGTGCGAAGCTCTGGTTGGTGAGTGATCTGGGTGGGACACCAGCACGGGTACTGTCCATCCTCCGAAGCCGAGATGGCTGGAGTGGGCGTGAAAGGAGACCCTAGAGCAGCCTCCCACTCTGCCTCTTTGCCATCTCTTTCCCTCGCCCTCCTCCCCTTTGTGACCTAGGCCACACAAAAGGATTATCAATTTGTGTGAGAACTCAGGCTATGGCGATTCAGGAGAGCGTGCATCTCCAGATCCTTGCCATCCCTTCCAGGTAGAAGTCCTGAGGACAGGTGTCAGCCCTGCTATGGGACATATGTGTGCTGTGAGCCCGGGCAAAGCCAACAGGAGGGTGGTCCCGCCTCCCAGGCTGAGGCTGGGGTGGACACCACCAGGGAAGCCCACGGGGGCCTGATGACAAGAATGTGGCTCAGTCCTGGCTCCATTGGTCTTAGCCAGGTGGCCCTGGGCAAGTCACTTCACCTGTCTGAGGCTGTTTCCCCATCCGTATTTGGATATACTGATGCCATTACCCTCTGGGGGGATGGTGAAGAGCAGGGAGGAGAAAGTGTGCAGTGCTTAGCATCGTAAGTGCCTAATATACATGTCAGGTGGCAACTGGGCTGTTACCTCCGGGGAACAAGGCAGAGGCCCAGCCTCAGGCTTGGGGTGGCCAGTGCCCTGTCACACCCTCCCAGGTCAGTGGGAGACAACTTTGGGGCGCTCCTTTGCACTGTGACCTGCAAGCCCAGCCAGAGGAACCGGGCGTCGAAGGAGGCGCACCCTGGCCATGCAGCAGGAAGTTCACCGCACACCAGTTGTGTTCCTTGCCCTCTAGCCTGTGGGCAGAGGACCTCACAGCACCATCACCAGCTGCCATCGCCCAGGGCCAGCTGTGTGCCAGGCACCACGGTTGAGCCAAGCGATCGCATCCCAGGAACATTACTATCCCCAGTGATGATGAGGAAACATGGGCTGGAGGGAGGGCTTAGCCCCAGGCCGTCTCTGCAGCCTTCTCATTCACCACTAGGCTACACTGCCTATGCTCTGAGGGCCAGGGATTTCTGCTTCTCTATCCCTCCCATACCTGCCCCCTTGCTGGTTGTTATGGATTAAATTGTGTCCCCTAAACAGGTATGTTAACGTCCTAACCCCTGGTACCTGTGAACGTGACCTTGTTTGGAAATTGGGTCTTTGAAGATATCATCTACAAGCGAGAAACACCTGGGGCCACCAGAAACTGAGAGAGACAAGAAGCATCTTCCCCTAGAGCCTACAGAGAAACCATGGCCCTGCCAATCCCCTGAATTTGGACTTCTGGCCTCCAGAATTGTGAGAGAATAAATTTCTGTTGTTTTAAGCCACCTAGTTTGTGGTACTTTGTTATGACAGCCCAGCAAAACTAATACAGTGATCAGGACTGAATGTTTAGTAAAGTGGTCAGAGAGATGCTTCTCCCACAAAGGCACCGGGCCCCAGTGGTTTTATAGTCAAGTTCTGCCATCTCAGTCAAATCAATCCAAAGCAAAGGAAAAAATGGAAGTCAGTCTGCTCATTGTATAAGGCTGGACTCGTCCCACCACCAAAATCAGACACGGAAAGCACAAAAGGAGAGATTAAGCAACCTTTTTTATGACTATAAATGTAATAATCCTAAATAAACCATTAGCAAATGGAATCCAGTAATGTATGAAAATAACGATACACTGCCAAAACCAAATAGGGTTTATCTAAAAAATGCAGAGCACCTCACTGTATTAACAGATTAAAGCAGAAAACCCACAGGATCATGTCAATAGATACAGACAGGATTTGTTAGGATCCAAAATTTATTAAAAAATTACATATAGAGGGCAACCGCCTTAATGTGATTAACAACAACAACAGGAGGAACCTACCGGAACTAAGCAAACACGGTGCACATTGGTGAAACACTGGTAGCATTCCCACCCAAGTTAGGAACACAACAAGGTCGCTTGCCACCACAATAATGGAAATCCTGGCCCATGCAATGAAGATAAAAAAAAGAATAAGAGGCATGTCTTAGGTTGGTGTCATGGATTGAATTGTGTCCCCCCAAAATATGTGTCAACTTGGCTAGGCTGTGATCCCTAGTATTGTGTGATTGTCCACCATTTTGTCATCTGATGTGATTTTCCTATGTGTTGTAAATCCTACCTCTATGATGTTAATGAGGCAGGATTAGAGGCAGTTATGTTAATGGGGCAGGACTCAATCTACAAGATTAGGTAGTGTTTTCAGTCAATCTCTTTTGAGATATAAAAGAGAGAATCGAGCAGGCAGACAGGGGGACCTCATATCACTGAAAAAGCAATGCCAAGAGCAGAGTGTATACTTTGGACCCAAGGTTCCTGTGCTGAGAAGCTCCTAGACCAGAGGAATATTGATGACAAGGACCTTCCTCCAGAGCCGACAGAGAGAGAAAGCCATCCCCTGGAGCTGGCACCCTGAACTCAGACTTCTAGCCTCCTAAACTGTGAGAGAATAAACTTCTGTTTTTAAAGCCATCCACTTGTGCTATTTCTGTTACAGTAGCATAGATAACTAAGACATCTGAGATCTCTAGAGGAGCAAAACCAGTG